CCACCCAAAGGATGCTCATTAGATGGAAATTACATGGTCAGGGGGGTCTATCAACCACCCGACCTGGGTGGTGCTGGAAGACAGTTTCCATATGCGGTTGCAGCTTGGGCTAGGGGTCATGGACTACCCTTTTCGCCCCTTTCCGCACAGCCCTCCATGGACCTGGACCCATCTTGTGATCTAGATCGCAGAGATAGCAACTAGTCGCGGTCCTTGTTTCCTAGTTTGTTCGTAGCGATGCCAGGGCCGCCAGTAGCTTCTGGTTCACAAACACTTCATACCTGGACCATCCAAGGGGTGCCCTGTCTGGAAGCCTATAGGTAGTGTGGGGTAGTCCAGCCAGGACACCCCGACAGGATGGTCCTGGTACATCTGTTTGGTTGTTGTTTTTGGAGATCCCGGCAGATAAGCGTCACGTCGTCCAGCACACCCATGGGATGGCCTGGCGCCTACATGCCGATTCCCTGAAACCACCCATAACCATCCCAAATATGCCATTCATCCACTGTTTGGGTCACACATGACACAGATGTGCACCCTCGGCCCCCCCTTGTCATCAAGGTGGCTGCCTTGGGCCATGGCCCTACACGCATGCATTTGCACCGGCCGCACGTAAGCACGTCAGCAGTGCCTGCCACCCTGGCGCTGGTGTCCCGTGCAGGAGGCGCTTTAGAGGATTCAGCGGATGAGTGGAGCACTCGACACGGGGGGGAGTTCCAGACGTGGATGACGTCGTCACGTTCCACCTCTTCGGGTGACCTGTTGGAGAGTAACTCCCCAATCTGACTCCCAAACTGTTCGCGTGGTGGTTCCTCGCGAGCTTCACGTGGCTTTTTGGGCCCTCCAAGCTTCAACCAGCACCCTCCAACAGGTCTCCTGTGGAGGGTTGTTAGGCTCTAACAGGTTTCAATTGGTGACCTGTTGGAGGGTGCTGGAAGGGTTCCATGTTCAGCTCCCCGAAAACTCACGTGGACCCGGGAATGGGTTGGGGACTGATTCGACCAGGGTCCACGTGAGTTTTCGGGAGTACGATGTGAGCACATTGTTGGGATGATTCACCTGCAAGAAAGCACACCTACCAGGACCGAAACCAAGTTTGGTGGTTATTGGACACCCGAAATCACCTCAGACCGAGGCTATTTATAGACACCTCTGGGAAGGTCATGGTACATGTCATTTGTGATAGCTAGCCCTTGCTGGTCCTCCGGGTTTCTCCCTGCTTGGGAGCCCACCGACTCGCGTGCGCTGGGCTGGTTGTTTTGCTCCTCCACCTTTGTCGTCGCCTTCGCAAGCCTCCGACGAACGGGCGACGACGCGACGGTTGCAGAAGCTGCGATCCGACTGTGTCAAGTCTTCAGTCTGAAGATGGAAGATTCATGAACCTGGTTTTGCTTAAGGCTTAAGACATTTTCTTTTTAACTTTTCTTATCTTTTCTTTATGGGCGAATTGCCTTCCAGGATGATGTTTTGAGTTTCCTTGAGACAATCCAAGTTCAAGTGGGGTTCTTGGGATGCTTCATGTGGATTCTTGTTGTGTCGGGTAGCTGAAAGACCGACGGTTTTTGACCGTTTCCGTGGACTGGTGTGGACGACAGGACGGCCCAGAACGGCCCAGGACGGTGGGCCATGTCTGACTATATAGACGCTAGTCATGCATAGGCAGTGTAGAGTGATCATACCTATATAGCGCTTCCTGTCTGGGTGTCCTGTCTGGTGACCTATAAGCAGTGTAGGGTTGTCTATTGGTAACCCCTTGGAAGCAGCTGGTAGGTGACTTGGTCACAGGTGGCTTGTTTGTTTGTCCGCCACCAGGTCCCTGGTTTGTGATGGTCCGCCTCCCTCCCTGGTCCGGGATGGCGGCCGAAAGCTGGTTGCTTTAAGGAGGATTGGAGGGGATGAGTTGGTTTTGAGTTTTGGGGCAACATTTTCAGATTTTTAGGACTCTTGGCATATTTTGGAATATATCATACCTACCTACCTACACGCACACACACACACACACATATATATATATAATATAATCCCTGTAAAAAATTCATCCATAAAATCTTTCCCGCAGGCTCCTGCATAAAACGGTTCTACGAACAACATGACTCTGTTAAAGAGACTCCAAAAGTGGAGGGGCACTCAATTTATGGACAGCCCTTTTTGAGTGGACTCCTATCCATTCTATGGAAAGGCAATTTTCCTATAATCTCAGATCAAGCGCTGTTTCAAGCGCTGTTCTATAAAGCCCTCATTTCCTTGCAAACATGACCCCTTATATGTTTTTTATGTGTGCGCTTGAGCGTTTATCTTGACCCAATGAAGGTCTGGAAGGAGGGTGGTGTAAACCAAATTATGGTTGGGTCTATTTTAGGTTATAGGCGTACAAAGGTGTCATTTTGGTTGGTTTTGGTCGGTCTGCCTTTTCCTTTTCCTTTGTCCTTTTCTGTTTTTGCCAGCGGTGTGAAGGGGTGTTCGGGCGTGCGTTGACTAAACGAGCCTGGATGTCACCTAACAAGCCTGAAGAAAAGAACAAGAAAAAACGAAAAAGCAAGGAAAGAAAAGAACAGGTGCACGGGGTGTGGGCTGGGGTGGATGCTCTTGCGAGCAATCGGCACGGGCCCATAGGCACTGGCCGAGAAGCCGAAATCGGCGCATATAATGTGAATACTTGGCAGAACCTAAGAGTACTTAGCAGTCTAATTAAAGCTTGGAAAGCTTCCGTGGTGAAACAAATTCAGTGAGCTTTGCAGCTTAGTTCAGAATGGATTTCAGTAAGCTCTGCAGCGGTCCTTCACGAGTGCCGTGTGAAACATTTCCGTCAATCACACTTCGAGCATCAAAATTCAGCAGGGAAATCCCGTCAGAGGTCCAAAGAGGACTATACATCAATTCTCCTATAGAAAGGAGGGGAAGACACTTAGGATGAGTGCTCTGCCGAGCGTGGCTTCAGACAATGCGCGGTGAGCATTAGCACTTTAGCGTTACTGCAATTTAGACCTTGACTAGAAGGAATTGCTGGGTCGGTCGAACAGATTTTTGAACAGTCCATTGAAAAGTTATTTGGAAATCCTGGTGCAGGTACGTAGTTCTGGCGTCCCAGAACTATATCACAGTGTGACAAATGCGTCTTTGTTGGCTGGAGACATCTGAAGCACACTTCAGCCCCCCTGCAACTGTACAAGATAGAATTCAGCAAAGTAGAGTAGAGTAGGTTGGTGCCCCTTGGAACGGGGTTTGACACACACACACACACACGCAAGAAGCCGAAACGGCGCGCCGCAACGCTGCAGCACAAAGTGTTTTTTTGTTCTTTTTCATTTCCTTTTTCCTTTTCTGTTTTTGCCAGCTGTGTGAAGGGGTGTTCGGGCGTGCGTTGACTAAACGAGCCTGGATGTCACGGAGATGTTCACCTGCAGAGGCACTTGACAGTGGGTTTTTACCTTACGGGCACAGCTCGGCCGAGCTTCGCACCAGCGGCTGCGCCTGCAATGTTCTGCCTGACGGCCCTGCCTGCGTAGCACTTCCCTGCGGCTGCGGCGCTCGAGATCGAAATGTAAAGTGGCCATCCGATGATCCGACCCCATATGGACGGCGCGCGCTGTCAAAAGGGCGCCTTGTCTGACGCCGTTCCGGCGGGCTGGGGCGGTTTCCGGGCGGAAAGCCGGAAAGAAGCAAGCGTCAGGACGCACATTAAGGGGGGGTGCGGTGTGTGATGGAGATGAAGGAGATGAGGGCAATTCGGAAGGTTCACCAAGGCACAGGACCTCGAAAAGCCAGCATCCTCTCCTTCGAGATAGGTGTTTCCAGATGGTTCCAAGTTCGGTATCCAGGTTCAACACCTGTGGGTGTTGGCCAGGAGGGTGGAAAAAGGACTCTTGGCCCCCCCAAGTTGCATAGCCAGATTAGCTAGACACCATCCATCTATGGAAGATTCCTACATTGACCCTGAACACATCTTAAAATCACCCCTGATCGGCAACTCTTCCGGTCCGTTAGTGGATTCATCTAGCAGGACCATCTGGACGTCCTGGCTGGACTACCGTACACTGTCCAGGATCTTCAAAATCGACCCAAACAGGATGGTCCAGGTAGGATCTGTCTCTTTCCACACGTGACCTATTCAGGGAACCCCACTCATTCGGGTACGACTTGCGGAGCAGTTGCTGCTTCATTTGGAGCCGTTTTTGCGGGGAGCCGAGATGGAGCAGCCCTTTTCTTTCTGCGACTTCGACGTCGAACCAAAACGCCACGACCGCCTCGGAATTCCTTCGATCCTTGAATCCCAAAGAAGTGTTTTATGTGTTTTTTTTCCTAAGGATTTGGCACAAAACCAGGTCAATTAGTTGTTTGACTGGTCTTGGGGATTGGCGATTCAGAAGGGGTGGGGGCATCGGCCGTGGGGTTCTGGCGGAGGAGGAGGAGGAGGAGGAAACCCCAACGCCACCGGGTTCGGCCATTCGTGGGTGACAGGGTTATGCAGGATGGTCCATGTGATTCGCTTTGGATCCAAGATGTGACAGGGCTCAGGGTTCTCCCAAAACCAGCTCAAAATCTTTGAGGGGTGCTATAAATCAATGCATGTGCTGCATGCACCCCTAGAAGTCCAGAACTGGACCCAGTACTGAGCACAAAGCAAGGAAAGGAAGTGTTTTTTCAGACTCCATCGGGGGTGCACACGCTCATGCCCAGAAGCTCCTCCCAAAACCTCCGGGGCGAAACAGAGGGAGACGGCGGACAGAGGGAGACCGCGGACGCTTCGTGGGCGGAACTGCGTCCCGGACTGCTTACTGTGCGTCATGGGTGATGGGCGCCCCAAATCTATTCCTTCGTCCTTGGGGTCTCCCAGGAAAGAGGCTTGACCCAAAAAGACAGGTGCCGAGTCTTGGCACCCCACGCATTCCAGTGGATCAACAGGGCCCTGCACCAGGCATAACCTGGAGTCATCACACTAGCAGAGACTCTTTGGAATCATCAGTGAAGTGGATGGCATGGCCTCGATTTCGGATGACCATGAAATCCTCATACCATCTCATACCAAACAGGTGGCTCAGGTGAAGTTTTCTTCACTTCCATGATTAGTGCAGTCGAGAAGAGACGGGTCTTTCCTGCTTAAAGTCTTTGACCACTCGTACGATCTGGTCGACCACGCCCGGCCGAACACCCAGCGTTTGGCTCCAAACAGAGCGTAGGACTGGGTCGGCCGTGCGGACCGGACGGGGCGCTTCTTTTCGACGAAGGGTGGAGTGGGACATGAGCCGCGCGGTGCTCCAAACCTTCGAAGAATACCAAAAGGTGGGGAGCCATGAGCCGCAGGTTTTCAGGGGGGCTAAAGAGGGTTTGGGGTTTAGGGGTGTGGAGAGGAGTGATCGGAGCGGCCCCAGAAGAGGCAGGACGAAGACTTGACCCTTCTCTTCCTCTTCTTTTTTCCTCGGCCTCTTTTTTTTTCCTCCTCCTGGTCGTGGGAATCGCCCATGTCACATGTCTCACATCCAACCCCCAAGGCAGTCGAAAACATCAGTTCATCACCACCACCGCGCCGAAAAAACATGGGGGCCTGCGAAAACCAATGGGACTTCCCCTCTCCCAAGGTCTAAAAGCACTTGCCTTAAAGTAACTACAAATCTCCCACTCTTGATCTGCCCTTGCCAACTGGAGTGTCACAAGAACGAGGTTGAGCAAAACCCAAGGGCGGTCAATGCCGTAGGGTCACTTTGAATGATTCCTTTTCCAAATCGCCGTTTTTCTTTTTGAAGGGAAAGAATGGTACTTGGTCCAGGCATTTTGAGAGCAACCAGGTCCATTTTTGATTGACTCCACCGTGAATCAAACTGCAATGTTTCTCCTCCCGCTCATTTCCCACACAGCCCTTTAATTCCAATCTCTTTCTCCTTCACCCAGAGGCTTGTTTGAACCCATGGGCCGCTTTGGAGGCCCGTGTGACCTTCGTGCAGACGGTGGCGGACCTGGCTACCAGGAGCGTCGCGGGTTCAGCCCGTCAGCGGGCTTCCCGTGAGCGACAGCAGTCGGGACATGGGAAAGACTTGATGTCCCTAGTAGCTATAGAAGCTACTAGTAACTAGTAACTATATAGGGCATTACTACTAGTAAATGTAACCAGAAGCTACTAGTAGCTAAGTTCATTACTAGCAACAAGAAGCTACCCATCCTTTTGGGAGGCCTACCATGCTCACTCTGAACACCGCCGACGTTTCGGGGATCACGTTCAGGGATCGGCCAGAGCAGCGATGGAGCCGGGCCTGGCCGGAGCAGCCTTGGTGGGTTGAATAGAGGGAGAACCACCTAAGTGCACAACCAAGTCTATGATGTATCAATGGATACCTGGCACTGACCCCTCGATGAGTCCTGTTCCATCGGACCTCATTAACCTAAGGGCCTGGGGGGGGTTTCTCACCAATCCCTAATTCAAATAGGGTCATTTTACAGCCCTATGAGTATAGCCTATCCCCTATGTACCACAACATTGGGTCCCAGTTCAGGTCTCCAAAACAGCCTATTCCCACATTCTGAACACTATAGCCTCCCCCCCGTTCTCTAAACCCGGCTCCGGCGTTCGGGAGCGGCTCGTCTGCCCTGTGGCCTGGAAACCTCCGGCGCCAGAGGCCACAGAACATCGATGCCTTGCAGAACGCCGGCGTCATGGTGCTGCTGAGGTGCTGGAAGCGGCGGCTGTCGCGCACGGCTGTCGCGCACGGCTTTCGCGGGCCGAGTGCGGGACGAGTCCGGGACGCGGGAGATCGGGAGACGCGGGAGAGGTGGTCACGTGGGTTGGCTGAGGTTCCTTGGATGTGAGGATGTGGATGGGGGGGGGTCCCAGATAGAGGCTACTTATGGTATATATCTGAATTGATGGAGCGCTTTTCGGACCTGCATCTTCCGACGATGAACTTCGGCCTTTCTCATGGACAAGAGCCAAGAGCGAGACAAGATCAAGGCTCTTGATCATCGTCCAAGCGAGTTTCTTGACCTGACCAAGCCTTGCAGAAGCTGGATGAAGCTGCGAATGGAATCCCAAGATTTCTCCGATTTGAACCAGTAACAAGAAGCTGTAACAAAGGGCATCGCTACGAACGGAGCGGTCGGACGCTGCGAACGGGGCGCGCCTGGCCGTATACGACTTGTTCGCGCACACCATCGTTTTTGGACACCACCCCATTTTTCGAGCCTTGGCTCCCCTGCCGCACCTAGATCTTCCCAGAATCCCAAGGCTGCGGCTACTTCCGCCCCCAAACCGGTTTTCAGAGGATTCCACGTCGGTTTCGCCGCATGGCGCCCCCACGCAGGCCCCTGCTGTTGGACAATGTGGCCTCCATCCAGCAGTCGGCGGCGCTGGCCTTGGGCCGTCTGGCCAACTTCAACGAGCAGCTGGCCGAGTCGGCGCGGGGGGCCGGGGGTCGGAGGAACGAAAAAGGCGGGCAGCCGACACCCCTTCTGTCTGTCGATCTACGCCCCTGATGCAGAAGGAAGACCTAATAGGTATAAACCAACCGAGGAGGAACAAAGACATGGCCGAGTGGACTCCAAGGGAGTTCTTTTGAACCAACTTCTGCCGATTCTGCTTCTCTATAGCCGGTGGCAGAAGGAGGAGGGGATGGCTGGGGTTACCGCATCCAGCCGTTCGGAGCGGCCGCGGGAGGTTGTGAGGTGTTTTTGGGTGGTGGACGGGCAGTTGAGCCTCCCCCGCAGGTGGTCACGCACGAAATCCTCCCGCAGCTGGTCTACTCGCTGGCGCAACAGAACCGCCCCTTGGGGTCGGCAAGCGGGGAAGCTCCAGGAAACAACGGGACAGATCCTGAAAAACTGGCCCAGTTTTTTCATGGTTCTCCGGCCATTGTGGGGTCCATAGCACTCTGACTGTGGTCCGGTTCGTGGTTCCCTTGCAGTTTCTCTGCTCCAAACAGTCTTGAAGGTGTACCAACTCATGTAGTTGTAGACTCTTGACCACACCCCCCATATGAAGAGGATTTGGCACTTCAAGTGAGGGTGGTTATTCATCAAGAGTCTACATGAATGACTTGCAACAGCGTTCACTCCCGGGGATTCTGGAGTTGCTGCGACAGCTCTGTGGAGTGACAGCTCGGTGCGTTGTCTTCTTTTGGAGGTGAGGCGAAGCTGTGTGGCTTTGGAGAGCCAAGACTAAGCCCACCTCCAGGTAGTATAGTGGATTGAGAGGACCAATGGCACAGACCCCAATGTCGGTGGTTTATATGGACCCCCATCTTTTCAGGACATCTTGGGGTCTGTGCCATCGAACCTCTGAAACCACTGTAGTAAACTAGACATAACTTCATGATATAGTGAACATCTAAGAACATGTGCAAACCATATGCGCATGTGTTCCGTTCACCTCGGATTCCTTCCAAACGAATTGCATGGCCGCCGGTCTTGAGTCTTCAGTCGACCGCCCCTTTGCGGGGGGACACCGAGAACCGACCGGTGGTTGTAGTGTCAAGTCCGTAGTAAAACGAGGTTTTGTTTGGTGAAAAGCCATGACACCAATGGTTGTTGGACGCCTAGGGGAATACTTTTAACCGACCCCCTCAGCCCACCCTTGCTTCACTAAGTAGAGGCTTCTACAAGAAGGCGGCTGCCTTTGTTCTGCGCGCCGTGGCGAAGCACTCGGCTCCCCTCGCGCAGGCGGGGTGCGGGGCGGCGTCGGAATTTCGGCCGAGCTTTCGAGGAGCTGCTCTTTGGTCGGAGCAGAGGCACTGCTTCAAGCTTTGGCACCTGGGCTTTGGAAGGGGACGAAGTACTTGTTCAACAGCTCCGTGGGAAGTTCAACAGCTCATGCTGGTTTTCACGACCTGATTGCGACGTGGAGGGTGCTCAACGAAATGGCAACCCGGTCGGTTTGGAGGGTGCTGATCCACCCGAGCGAAAACGCCATGCCGTTCGCACGCACGCACAGGTGGATGACCCCCTGCAGAACGACACAGTAGTCTTGAACTTCAACCCCGAAAGGTAACAGCTCACCAAGATCATCATTGCAATTCTTCGCTGGGGAGTCCTGGATCATTGATGACAAGAAGACAGAAGACCTGTCTCCAACGGAATCCTCGAAAGGTATGAGACGAGTCGTTGTCCAGAGTCGTTTCACCATCCGAGAGACGCATGTGCAGCATTGGTCAGTCTGACCATGTTGCCATAGCAAGCAAGATTGTTCACCTTTGTTTGTTTTGGGTAAGGGCATCGGGCATCCCTCGAAGTCCTGTGAAAGACTATCTTTGGCGGCAGGACATGATGGACATGGCTTTTTACTCGGGTCATCTATTCAGACAAGGATGATTTTAGTAAAACAAACCTACCAGCACCTTCCAAGGGGTCACCAATGGAAGCCCCTACACTACTAAGGGACCTCCATTGGACACCCCCCCTTGAAGGTCCAGGTATATATTTACCTAGCACATCCAACGGGTGCCCAATGGAGACCTGTATGTATGGTGGGGTAGTCTGTTGGACACCCATTGGATGGTATACCAGCACCCGACTCTGCCAGGTCTCCGATGGCTGGAGGGTTGGGTTTCGGGCCCTGCCACAGGTTTCAATTGGTGACCTGGCAGGAAGTCGGGTTATACACTATGTATTGGTATGTATTGATATACTTGGTGTTCCAAACCTTCCGTATATTTGTTGGTAATTGTTGGTATGTATTTACTACCTGGTATGTATCGATGTACTACCTGGTTTGTCTACCTGGTAACCTATTGGGATATGCAAACCAACGTGTCCCATGTTTCCCGGCCGTTGATGTCATGACTGCCCGTCGATCCTCGTCCGCCGGATGTCCAGGCGGTGGTGGATTCCGGCGCCATGGAGTCCTTGGTCATGTGCTTGGAGGTGCGAGTCCTGGGGTGAACCAGGGCGAGGTGTGAGACAAGGCGGCGATGGCTGAGAGGTTCGGGCTGGTTCATGTTGTTTTGCTATTTTTGTGGTAGATTTGAGTAATTCATGTGTTTTTTTGTTGCTATTTAGATTTTTGTAGTTACTATCGTTTTGAGTAGTTAGGTCTTCTTTTTTTTCGGAGTGTGAGTGGGACGTTTTCGAAGTGGCCGGTCCTTCTTTTGACTCCACCAAGTCCTTTGTGTGAAGGGAGGGCCGCCGGTTTGGACGACACGGCGGTTTCAACCGCCACGGTCCAATGAACAGGTGCTTTTTCCCACTCGCCACTCAGTTCCCGTGGAGTTTGTTTCGAAGCTGAGGAGTGGGGCTTCTCACACCCTCGACCTTTGTTGAAGGCTTCCCACACAAGATGGACATAGCGGAGGGGTGGGGTCTGTCCGAAAGTCCCAGTAAAGCCCTAGCAGTCGGCGCCAGTACAATCGCTCATTGAGAGATGTCGGCCTGCAGCTGAACCATCATCATCCACTGGGCATTACCCAACGGATGGGGTTCTGAACCACCGGCTTCCGCCTCCAACGCTTCAAAGGGAAACCCCTGGCAGGGGCAGTCTCCCCCAAACCGTGGTTCTTGATCTGTTTACAGCGGGTGGTCAGATCGAAAGACACTTCTATTCTAAAGATCCGCCCTAAACACCTTCTTTCTTCTCCCTTTCCTCCCGCTTTGCGAGCCAGCAAAACCGACCGCCCCCAACGCCCCCAAGGGGCCGCCCCCAACGGTGGTCGTAGCCAACCACCACGTGCTTCGATCCGGGCCCAGGAGTTTGATCCTTCAGTGAAGGAGTCGGCTGCCTGGGCCTTGGGCTACATCGCCCCTGGGGCCGCACCGAACCGCCGCGCGCGCTCCACGCAAGGGGATTGATGCGAACAAGATGGGGTGACGGTGAGGGGGTTGGAGTGTTTTTGGGGGGAGCGTCCTGAAGCTGATCGCAGTGAAGGGGTTTGAGCCCCCCAAAACAGAGAAGACACCGCGAAAATGGGGCCATGAGGAATTGTCCAGTCTCAGATGAGGCACTTGCTTGATTGAGGATTGTCGGAGCTACTTGGAGTTGTCAACCTTTCTGTGGACAATTCATGTTGGAAACGCAGGTCCTCAACACGTGCAGAATTCGCTGGGCGGTCCTTGCTTACAAGAACTCGGAAATTGATCCCTTGCGTTTGGCAGCAACTTTGGTTTCACATGTCTTGCTCAGGATATTCACCTTTCAATCTCGTGTGGGTCACGTAATGCCTGCTAGCTAGCTCCTCCCCCTGTGGCGCCTTCCCTTTCCCTGAGGCCAAGCACAGCAAAGAGCTTGCGCAGAGCGTGCTGGATGCCGGCGCCGTGCCCCTGCTCGTCTTGGCGTATCAGGATCGACCGGTGCCCGAACCGGGGCGATGATCGAGGCGTTGCCGCTGGACCAAGCCGAGTTCGTTGATGCATCAACCTGGTTTGCCTCCAAGCTGTTTTTTTTTTGGAACCTGGACCGACCATTTTGATCTCTTGGTTTGACCAAGAGAGGTTAAGTGATCTTATAAATAGGACCCCACTGGGGTACCTAGGGTATAGTCTAGTTCGGGTCCTTCAACCTCTGTTGGGAGGTCACTGAAAGGACTGAGGCCTGGACGATCGGTGCGTCACTTGAAGATCAAGACAAGAAGCTGCAGGATCGGCCCTTGCCAAGTGGTTGGGCCTCTTCTCGGGTCCAGTTCTTCACCACCTGGAAGGTGTTGGGAAGGGATGGTGGAAAGAAACCACTTATTTGTTGCCTTTGTCCCATGTTCACTATAAGGACCAGCCTGCTACCTTTGATACTTTGATCGAAGTGTGGACGTAATATGTCGTACTTATTTTCGAAGTGCGCCCTCTATCTCTCAACTCTATGATGCTCTATGTGCTTGAGGAGGGTCACTAGCCAGTTTGGATGCCAAATAAAGTACCTCCGCCACCAACTTGGTCATCCATTCGCGTGGGACAGATCCAGGGTTTTGGCAAGCTCGGTTTTTGGTGGATGGTAGTGTAGACCCTTGATTAGTAACACTCCCCATATCAAAAGCTTTTACACTCCAAATCCAGGCTTAGAACTATAAGCACACTAGCAAACCACAGCTTGGAACCTAACTCATCTTAAATGACGCTTCTCCTTCTCCACTCTCCCCAGGAGCCCGACCTGACCTTAAAGCGCATCAGCGCCTCCGTACCTGGGCGACCGGCGACCGGCGCGCTCGTGTCGGTTCGCTCCGCTGGAACGAGTTGCTACCTCATCCCCTGGGAGTCCAGTCGACCGAATGGTCTGACGAGTTCACCCGAGTGGTGGACTTTCCTGGACTTCAGTCGGTGAACATAGATAGTCCAACTGGACTTCGGCATCGTTGATGTTCGTGATAGATCTTTCTAGCTAATCGGTGGTTGGCACCCCGCAGAAGTCAAACTGCATCTCTTCGGCATCCTCTCGACCCGTCTCGACCCACACGCCGGAACAATCCGGAAGACCACCTTCGTCCGGACGGTTGGTTTGGGGGGGTTCTGAAGGGGTCTGCAGACTTTGGACCCCTTTTCGTTCCCTCCAGAAAATTCTCCGCATCTGCATCATCTGCGTTGAGGCACAACAGCCCCACAGAGAGATGTTTGACCATCCAATTGTTTTCCCCTTATAATCCCTTATATAACTAATCATAACTAATCAACACCACATAAAGGGTGGTTGATAGACCTCCTTCAACATGTTACGATCCAATACCCACCCTTTGGGTGGTGCTGGTTTACATCATAATTTTGTTGGGGGGGTTGGCGCCTTGTGAGAAGGGCAGGTGCCGCTTAGGCTTACTTTTTGAGTGAAGGGTTTGGGTCTTTTCATGTCTTTTCGTTTTTAGACACTTGTGGATTGTGTCATCTACTCTCCATCCACAACTCCAAATCTCCAGACCCAAGGCTTTGGGTCTCAACATTTGAAGTGACATGTCACCACCCTAAAAGTCGTGGCCCACCATGAAACATGTCGCCGGATCCTCCTTGTCACAACCATTGTTGCACGTTTGGTCACGTTTGGGATTTGACACCACGTGGACTGACGTTCCCGGTCCAACGTGGACTGACCGGACCGCTTCATCCGCGAAACCGCGACGGCTCCGAGGCGCTGAGTGACATCGCCAAGCACAGTCCAGAGCTGGCACAGGTGGTGGTGGACGCTGGCGCCTGCGTCTTGCTGGTGAAGGCGAGGCGCGTCCGCCGGTGGCGGATCACGTCGCGGCGAAGGCGGCAGAAGGCGGCGGCGAACTGGGGTGGTGAAAGGGGAGGGGGGAAGGAGCAACTTCGATGGAAGCGTTGGCGGCCCTTTGCCCATGAAAGCGGGGCGGAATTCCAGAGGCTTTCATCCAACGGTTTTCTGGGACACTCCATGTGTACATTGGCCCCTCAATGATAGGTATATATAGATATGCTAAACCAGAACCTCCTGGCGATCGGCTGCCAACAGGGACCCCAACAGGTGGTGAACCGATCAGCACCGAACTTGTCTACCGTTACTGTGTTTGGGCATTGGCTCTCCGCTTACTTCGACCCTCAACGTCCAGAAAGCGGAGCTCGCGCGACGCCAGGAGATCACCAACAGCGACGCCGCCCTCAAGCGACAGGCGCGGCCGCCGGGAGGCAGAAGAGGACACGGAGCGGCCACAGAAGAGGAGATGCAGTTCGCCACTTTCGGGTGGTTTATAGCCATATAGCCATCATTCATGTAGCATCTAATAGTTCCGAGTTCTGATTATGTGTCTATCAATCATGAACCACCATGAACCACCCTATGACTAATGCTGGTTTGAGTCAATCCTCTTGCAGGGCTTTTTAGCTGCCATTTGCTGATGATGGCGTCCGCTCATGTTGCGGGAAAGCGTTGTGTGCTCTCGAACTCATATTGAGGTGGAATCCATTCAATCCATGGGAGCAGGCAGCAATAACACAGGTAGATACAATTAGCAGGCGCCTCGCCAGCACCTCGCGATGCTTGGACCTGGGACTTCGATGCCTACCACCATTCGAGCTGTTTGTTATACTAATTTCACACTAGGTCGTTCCCACTCTTTTGATGGTCGAACTGAGGGCAAGGGCTAGGGTTTCTTGTTTGTATCTTTTGCTGGTTGGCTCCCCTAAATTGGAACTCCCATCGACGAACCTATATCCGGGTCCCAAAAGCTCCAACCCAAGTGTTGTTCCGGTTCTTGACATGGCTCACGTGCCGGCGCACCGTTCAAAGCACCCCAACAGCAAATCTCATGGCCCTCCAGAATCCAATTTCATCGACAAAAAGGATGACACACGAACACCATTGCAAAGGGTGTTGTATGACCAGCTATTTTCTACCCAAAAGTAAATCACCACCCTTTGATTGGGTGGTGCTGGTGAAGGTTGCTGGTGCACAATGACATGGGCCGGAGATGCTGGCAGCGCCAGGGTTGATGGTGAATGACCCTCCAATAGGGTCATTGAGTCGGATTCCTTTGGTAAGTCCGATGGCTGGAACCTCGGATCCCACGGGGAGTTCCACCAGGCCACCAGCAGTTCCATGGAGAGAAGGGTGCCGAACTTGGAAGAGAAGGGTGCCCAGAGCATCCACTCACTCCGATGGGACTCCAACCCCATTCCGACATGGAACGGTTGCTCTTGTCGCATGGTCCGCCCACCGTGGCCGTTCCTTGGGCACCTGGGCAGGTGTGCGCCTGCCTCGCGCAGATCGCGAAGCATTCGGTGGCTGGGATGCATCGACCTGAAGGGGGACTCAGCTTGAAGCCACCAGGTCTGACTGGTGCGACTCGTAGGGAATGAGGGTGGCTGGATCCAAAGGAATCTCTATTGGGGGCGAAACTTCCCTCATTCCCTACGAGTCGCACCAGTCAGACCAGTTTGGGGAGCGGTTTATCTCTATCAGAATGCCCACCCCCACCGTCACGATCGTAAGCCCTCGGATCGATATCAGGTGAAGGGACGATTTCATGCCACCACGAGAGAAAAGGGGTGGGTGCACGTTGGCTTGCTCTTTTTACTAGTTAGTCTTAGTTGTAGTTGGCTGGTCGATACAGGAAAAGTGCCTGGCCGAGGCCCCCCTGAATCTTTTTCATATCGAACGTTGAGTGGAAAGGTGAAGAGACGCGTCGTGTCGCGCGCGACCTTCTGCGCCAACAAGCTTCGAAGCTTTCCACTCTGAGCGCTGAAAGGGACGGAACCACAGAAGGCTCCATCAACAGAGTCGACGTTCCTCTTTTCCCAAAAACGGTGACACCGCTGTGCAGCGTGTCACCAGGCAAATCAGGCTGCCAGGCGTGTCATCTCAATTTCCGCTTATGAAATGCAGCACGACGAAGGGTTCCATGCGACATTTCGCAGGACATGTCGCACCATTCCAGGGGTCCCGGTGACGAAAGCTGCGTCAACGTGGGTGGCTTCGGGGTAAGCGCCTGAAGTTTCTCACCCAATCAGCACTCACCTCGACGGGGCGCCAGTCCTTTCGATCTCGAAACGTGGTGTTGGCTCGCCCTCGAGTTGTTTGTCTTAGATCTTCCAGGTGGATCATCCCCCAGTGCAGTGACCCTTGGAACCCACCATCACCATCGATTGAATGAGGCCGAATCCCGAAAAAACCGAGCTTTTTGACTCAAGGTATCTAAGGGTTTTGCACTACCTGGCGCCAGGTCCTTCCCTTTCGCTCTGAACCGTGGGTACTGCTTGCCGGCGGCCGTCTACGGTGCCCACCGGTCAAACCTCTTCGCTCTTCGGTCCGAGCTCCGAGCGTCGTAGCCCTGCGGAGGTCTCCAGCTCAGCAGGTGAGCCATGCCATAACCCTCTTACGGCATAGGAACCTACCAGGTGAATCAAAAGGGCGTCTAATGATTTTTGATGTTCACCTATCTGCAAGGGGCGTCTAATGAGCACCCCGGTTTCGATCTACCTGGTATCAAGGTTTCCAGCTCAGGTGGATCTGGCGGAGGTGGTCGTAGAGGCCGAAGTCTTCCCACGGCTGCTCCATGTGCTCAAGGACGTGGACGAGCCGCGCGGCACCGTGGGTGGGAAGAGGGGTGGGAGGATGGTGGCAGGGCGGTGGCAGGTTTCGGGAAGGTTTTGCGAAGGCAGTCAGTAGATTTATATAGAAGTGTAATGGAGATTGTCACAAGCAGTTGAGGTGACATGTGAAAAAAAACATGTGGGACTTCCTCAGATCAAGGTAAGTTGAACAACCGACCAACAATAAAAAAGCCGACCACGAGGTTGCAGGTATATGATTCGATCCACTTGTCAGCGTTTGCAAGGTGGGCGCGCCGCTATTGACTGCTAACCTGAGTGGTGATATCAGATAGTTTATGGACGCATATATTAAAAATATAATAAGACACGCCTGGATCTTCGACAATGAACACGTGTCCAAACGCGGCATGGTAAGTCCAATTGACTTTTGGTTTTTGTTGATGTGATTGAGGGCGTTTCGACCAGGACATTTTGCGGTGGTGAGGTGAAGCAAAAAGAAACACCGTCCCACAGCGAGAACCGCGGCAGAATCCCCTGGTCCATGGATTCGGAGCACGTGTTTGAGGCCTGGTTGAAGGCCTGAAGAATGCATGTCGCAAATTGAAGATCCAGGCATACCTGTGGATCTTCCAACTATGACAAATTTCATCCACAATAATCAGCCAAAAGGCCGACATTTGGCATAGTTGGAAGATCCACAGGTATGTTTCAACCTTTTCTTGGGCTGATCGATCCCACTCAAGTTTCGGAAGGAAATTGAAACCATCAATCATGGTACGTCATCCGATGCCAAGGTTGGTCCGGAAGAATGCCGCAACCTGCATTCGTTGCGTGGCTGCAAGGTCCAGGATGCCGCCTTCACCTTTGGTGAATAAGGATTCATTATTCTCATTGAGAATCTTCCTGTGTTTTTTCCTATTGGAATTACATAGTCTAAGTCTTGTATCTTCTTGTCGCTTCCGGCGGCTTCGACCAGCTCTCTCCGCGCGGACACGGACCCGAAGACGGACCGAAGACGGAGCAGTGAGGAGGGCGCTCTCCAAGGACAAAACAAAGAAGTCAGGGGAACCTCCGAAGACGGAAGGCCCTTCACCTTCACCCCAAATCATCCTTCCGGGACATACGTAGTATACGTTTGAAAGGAGGCCGGGTCACGGTGAGGGTGTTTTTCACTTCATGGGCTGTGGAAAGAGCGCTCTGGTATCTCTAAGCACTCTTTGGGGTTCGGGGGCCGGGCATCCCCCTAACATCTGCCAACACCCCGTGGTGCGGGGAGAGCTTGCACAGGCGAGCTCGCACGGCACACGCCTGACCTGGCGAAGCTCATCGTGCCCAGACGGACGGACGGGGTCTGTGGCGGATCGGTCCGTAGCGGGGTTGGGAGCGGCGGAGGATTGAACGAAGCTCCAGGCGTCCCCTTTTTCGGAAGGGAACCTGGTTTTGGCGGATCAGGCGATGTGGATTTTTTTCTCCCTATGGGTCAAGTCCCCAATGGTGGGGATTCAAATCCAAGGTTCCCAGCGCATCCAACGGAAGGTCGCAGGTGTGTATAAGTGTATATAGTGGCAGGCGGTTCGCCCAGATGATTCGCCCAACGCCCCTCAGCTGCTGCAAGTGTAAGGATTCTCTGCACAAAGCACGAAGACGAAGACCCAAAGGGTCATAGAACCCCAAAACGCATGCGCGCACCAGCTGGATCTGGCTGAGCCGGCTGAGCCGAGAAATGTGGCTAAACTGACCCCGGGATTCGTGGCCCGCCGAGTTCATGTGTTTTGCAAAAACGACCATCCCCTACAAGTCAAAGACCTCATTTTACTGGAGATGGTCATACAAAACCAATAGCTTCTACTGGGCCGTTTTTACTAAGGAGTTTAGACATCGGGTTGGGGACCGTACGAAAGAATCCTGAGTAGTAGCGGCTGGGTCGAAGCTCGGGGACCCGGCTGGGTGGGTGCAACCCCTCATGAAAACCCAGACACGACCCGTTTGGGACTGCCATATATGCCGCCCCATTGACCCCTGGTACCACCCCAACTGATCGGCATAAATGGCAGTCTGCAGACACATACATACAGTTTGTACACGTACATTTGCAGCCCTTTTGAGGTCTTAGAAAAGGGGCGCCACGCTTTGCATGGTAGCGGAGCCCTGGTTGGGCTCCCGCTCCTGACCCCCTGTAAAACCGGCGTAAGGCCCTCGTGGCGGCGGTGAGGTGGGCACCCTGTAAATCCACGTGAAATCTCGTGGTGTAGGGACGGCGTAAATCCCTGTGCCGGGTGGCAAGCAGCGCACATGGCAGCGCCTGTGACGCCTCCTCTTGCCTTCGACATGGCGGCTGCTGCGGCTGATGGCTTTGAGTCGCCTACATCCCAACCACATCCGCTACTACCTCAGCCAGTTCCTGGTCCGCGGCTCATCGACACGAAAGCCATCGGGAAGCTTCGATCATTCAGTGGAAAGGATGAAGATTGGCCGGCTTGGGTGTTTGTGCACCTGCTCGACCGTGCTTACCGAGGCATGCTGGAAGCTGCTGAGAATGCCGCCTCGCAGAACGAGCTGTCCATGATCGATATGAGTGACACAGCTCAGGAATTGTCGGCTGTGCTCTTCAACCTGCTCACCCAGAGCGTCGACGGCAGAGCTCTCCAGATCCTGATGAACGTGGAGGGCCAGAATGGGTTCCAAGCCTGGAAGGCATTGTGTGATGCCTATGAACCACCAGTGGGTGGACGCCACATGGCGATGCTCACGGCCATCATTGCACCCGACTGGAAGAACATCAAGGAGTCCGAGATCCTTGAGACGATTGAGTCATGGGAAGTGCTGGTGAGGCGCTATGAGATGCAGTCCAAGGAGACGGTCTCTGAGTCCATGCGGGTTGCCGTGTTGATGAAGCATGTTCCGAGCCCGGTGAAAGATGCCATGAGAGCTGCTGGAACGCAAATCGGCACAAACTATGAGAGAGCAAAGAAGTTCATCCGGGACTACCTGCAGACCGGCAACATCTACAAGTCTGGTGGCGCGCTGGCCAAGGACGATGGTGGCTTGGCACCTATGGATGTGGGAGCAGTGTCCCATGCAGAGAAGGGTAAGAAGGGCAAGTCAAGCAAAGGAGACAAAGGAGTCAACAAAGGTGGAAAATACGACAAGCAGGGAAAAGGCAAAGCACCCATCACGAAGAAGTTCAATGGCGAGTGCTCTTATTGTGGCAAGTGGGGCCACAAGAAGGCAGACTGTCGCACTTTGGTCCGAGATCGAGCCCGACGTGACGGCGACAAGGGCAAAGGCAAGAACAGCACGAATGCAGTGCAGGCAGCACCGAGTGGTTCAGCTGCACCACCGTCACCTCAGGGAGCTCCAGGCAGCAGCACCAATGCTGTCTACTACTGGATTGACCCCGACAATGACGAGAGGAAGGCATGGGCCGACACCTATGACATCGAGGACGAGTACAGTGATGAGATGTGGGTGATGATGATCCACAAGGCCAACAAGCAGGTGAGCGAATGGCACCACATGAACATCTCCCAGCCTAGCGGCACCTCCGTGAAGTACCTTCTTTGGGACTCTGGCAGTGATGAACACCTCTGCCAACCTGTGTTCGGAGGCGACCAGCACACCGAAGAGTGCCGAGCTGAGCTGCTAGGGATTTCTGGGAAGAGCTTGGGAAAACTCGGAAAGAAGCGAGTGAGCTACAAGATTGTGGGCGAGAATGGCAACTTCCTGAATGCCATCACGGAGTTCAAGGTGAGTCAGCAAGCCAGCAAGGACGTGCTCTCAGCTGGCAAGATGAGCAAGAATGGATTTGTGGCTGACATGAGGAACAAGTTCAAGCCATACCTCAGCCATCCTGACATCTCATTCAGGATTCCTCTCTACATCCACAGGAACTCCTACTACATCAAGATTGTGGATGATGAGGCCGTGCCGTATGACATGAAGGTTGATGCCACTGTGGCACCGGTGGTGAGTCAAGGTGACCAGTATGACTGGGAGTTCGCCGGTGTGGACGAAGATGAAGAAGGGATTGAGATGATCCCACTGCCTGAGGAATTTGCTCGTGATGAAGCCCATGCTCGTGCAGACCGACAGAAGCTGCATGGGTGGAGCAAGGTGGCAGATCTTCGAGCCCGACTCAAAGAGTTGGATGAGCCTATCTATGGCGACAAGCACACCCTGTGGACAAGGCTGAAGAAAGCAGAAGCTGCATTGAATGCACGAAGAGCCTCAGCAAGAGACAATGTGGAGAAGCATAGCGAGAGGCAGCAGGCCTTGCGAGAAGGGCGTGGAGCTGAAGTTCAAGAGCTTCCAAAGCCGGTGATCCCCAGTGATGAGGAGATGAGGCAGCATGCTTTGACACATCTGCCACCACAACCCTGGTGTGAATTCTGCACCCGAGGCCATGGCGTGGAGATTGCTCACAAGCGAAGGACCTTGGAGCAGAAGCTGTCTGACAACCACTTCGAGCTTGACTACAGCTTCTTGAAGACCGACACCAGCCTGGCCGACAAGTTCGAGGAGTGCAGTGACACAGTGCTGTCAGTGGTTGACACTGGCACTGGCATGGGACTGGCCTTCAGCATCCCAGCCAAGAACTTGGGCATCCCCTACGTGGTGAAGGTCATCACATCCTTCATCGCCCAGCTGGGGTATGACACAGTGAAGCTGAGATCAGACAACGAACCAGCGATCAAGAAAGTAAAGGGGCAGATCGCTGAGGCCTTGAGGAAGGGTGAAGCACCCGGAGCTGCTGGATTGAAGATCATCTTCGAGGAGGTTCCAAGGTATAGTTCACAGAGCCTTGGAACGATGGGGGCATTCCAGAAATTGCTTCGTGGAGATGTCCTGACTTTGAGGTATGCAGTCGAAGCGGAGTATGGCATCACATTGCATACATCCCACAACCTATGGCCCTGGTTGGTGCGCTACTGCTCTTTCATCAGATGCCGCTATGCAGTCAAGTCGAACCAGCGCACAGCATACCAGGATGCATTTGACTGCCAGTACACGTCACCTCTCATCCCGTTTGCAGAGACAGTCCTCTTCAAGACCCCCATGAGTAAGGCCAGAAGGGCGCATGGGAGAAATGTGATCACCAAAGGTGAGACGGCATGGGCAAAGGGAATCTACCTCGGCAGGAGTGTGACCAGCAACGAGTACCTCCTTGGCACGCCAGATGGCACCGTGTCAGCAAGATCTGTGAGGAGATTCGCAGACAGCGCCAAGACCCATGACCGAGACCTATTGGAGGCCATGATTGGGGTACCTTGGGACCAAGGAACCACCATTGGACGTCCCAAGAGGAAGATCGAGGCAATCATGCCGATGACCCCAAGTGCAGTTCCAACGGAAGCTGAGACTGATGAGAAGAAGGCCAAGATCAAGACCTTTGAGGAAGAGCCGACAGAGCCAACACTCAATCAAGGCGGGCCATCGTCCGGCAGTGGACGGAATGACGAACCCATCCTCATCAGCGAGAAGCCTGCCAATGTGGAGCCCTCTCAGGAGGCGATGGAGACTGAACAAGTCATCGATAAGTCCCCCATGGAGATCAAGGTTTCTGCAAGACGTGCCTGGCCTGGTGGAGATGATGAAAACCCAGAAAAGAGGGCACGCGTGGGCGGAGTATATGTCGGGGCACTGTACTCGCCGACCGAGGATGTGATTGTCTATGAGGAGGATGTGGAAATGGCAGCAGTGGACTCCGATGATGAGGAGAGCAAGCCTTTGACGGCAGAGGAACGAGCACAAGGCCGAGAGGTTGAGTATGGGAAGATGGACAAGTACGACACCTATGAGCCTGTGTCCTACCAGCCTGGAATGAAGGTGCTGGATGCCACATGGGTGGAGGTGCGAAAGCCGGACGGAGCAGTGAGATGCCGATACTGTGTCCGCGAGTTCAAACGAGGTGATCCAAGGACTGATGTGTTTGCTGTAGCCTCCAGTACATCGACTTCAAGAGTGGTGGACGTCATTGGCATCAAGATGGGCTACGCTTTCATGACCGCAGACGCCGAGAATGCTTTCTGGCAGGTTCCCATCAAAGAAGATGCATACATGCTCCCTCCGAAGGACTGGATCGAGAAGCAGATCGAGGCCGGTGTGACCCTGCCTGAGAAGGTGGTTTGGAAATTGAAGAAAGAATGGTATGGGAGGAGGATTGCTGGACAATGTTTCGTCGAATGGGCAGCAGGGCACCTCAAGGACTTGGGGTTCAGCCGTAACCCAGCTGCACCCTGGCTGTTCCACAATTCCAGCAAGGGCATCCTCATGGAAGTTCACATGGACGACTTCTTTGCCACTGGACCGCAGAGATCCCTGGAAGAGCTGGAGAAAGAGCTCCACAAGAGGATTCGCATGAAGAGCCAGATCCACCCGTTGATCGAGGGAGAGAAGTTCACGCACCTGAAACGCACAAGGGAGATCTATAGCAATGGAATCTTCATCAGCCCAAGGTCCAAGTACATCACCGACCTGCTGAAGATGTTGAAGCTTGAGAACTGCAACCCAGCACCGACTCCCTATGTTCACAGTGAGGTGAAGGAGGGTCAGAAGCTGAACGAAAGCTGCACGAAGTTGTTCAGGGCTGGAGTTGGCATTGCACTCTACTTGAGCTACGACCGGACTGACATCCAGTTTGCCATCCGCGAGCTCACGAAGGACATGAAAGACCCCAATGATGGAAGCATGGCAAAGCTGCATCGCTTGGCAAGATACCTGCAGGGCACGAAGGACTATGGCATCTGGCTGGAGCGCAGGGGGGAGATCGATACCCTTGTTGTCCATTCGGACACGGACTGGGCGAATTGCAAGAAGACAAGAAAGTCATGTGCCTGCGCCATGTTCAGTGTTGGTGGCTGCTTGCTCTACAGCTACGCCCGCAGCCTACAGATGCTGTGCCTGTCCTCAGGTGAAGCCGAGTTCAATGGAGGAGTGGCAGCATGTGCCGAGGGATTGTTCCTGAAGGAGATCTTCATGTTTGCAGGACATCCCATCAAGATGGAAGTCTTCCTGGACTCAAGCGCAGCAAGAGGAGTCTTCCAACGGCAAGGTGTGGGGCGCATCCGCCATTTGGAAGTGAAGAGCCTATGGGTTCAAGAAGCATTGCAGCGAAAGCTGTTCACGCTGCATGCTGTGCCGAGCAGTGACAACACAGCTGACTTTGGCACCAAAGCCCTGACGATCGAGAGATTCCACAAGTTGAGGACCATGTTGAAGATTGGCACCTATGAGGAGGTCAGTGAGAAGGAGAAGAGCCACGTGAATGTGGTGAGCGCCGCTGGCCAGTTCAGCAAGAAGATGATGATTGCTGCACTCATCACGATGTTGCAGCAGGCCGATGGAGCAAGGGAAGCCGACGAGCCCAATACCGAGAATGGCACCCTGAGCCAGTGGATCTTCACAGATCTGGCCATCGCCTTCGGCTGGGTCCTGCTGATCCAGGCCATCATGCTGGCCGGATTCCCCTGGCTGTTCGGCAAGATCAATGGGGGCTTGAGCATCCGGCTTGGGAAGACCACGGAGACGAAAGATGTGGGCACCCAGGTCGAGTGGATGGCACAGAAGTGGAGCAAGGTCTTCTGGCTTGAAGGCCGTGAAGTTTTTCACGTCGATTGCACGTGCCCTCGACTTCAACAGAGGTCAAGGGAGTTTGAGGTCTTGCGCCTCTGCAAGAGCTGCCCACAAGGTGGGTACGCATGATGGAAGTGTCTGAAAAGCATATCCCTCCCTGTATAGCTTTTAGGGGGGTGCAGACACATACATACAGTTTGTACACGTACATTTGCAGCCCTTTTGAGGTCTTAGAAAAGGGGCGCCACGCTTTGCACAGTCCCATGGAGTGTCTGGGAAATCATTTGTTTGTCGATGCATGTTTGATTGATGCATGGTCCCAAACACACCTGGGAAGAGGAAGCGCACACACAACATCCCCTTGGTTGCAGGGTCTCCGTGTTTTAAACGCACAGCAATATTATGCATACACCTGGAGCCTGAATGACCGAATGAGTACTATTTTGGAACACCGACCACGCCCGTGCTCGAGGTGAACGCTGGGGGCATCGCAGCGATGGTGGACTATGTGCAGGAATCACGGGGCAACGCCAGAGCTTTGGCTGTTCGACCATAGGAGCTGTCCCATGGCATCCTCTTCCGCTATGGGTGGCGAGCAGTGGAAATTACAACCATTCTCTGGTTTTGCTCAAGGTGATTTTTAAAACTATGGGCAAATCTCCTGGGGAACTTTTTGTTCTCTCAGGTTCCTTGAGCAAAGCCAAGATCCAGTCAGGTTGTGGACTGTTTCCTTTTCCTGGGAAAGTCACAGAGATTCATGATGACCTGGCAGTGAAACAGCCTTTTCAGGTGGGTTCTGGATAAGAATTCACCGCCAAGTTAGAGGCGCCACTTTGGAGGCCCCTTTCTGCTGCGCCCCGGGCTCCGCCTGCGCGGTGCGGATGTTCTCTATAAAGCACCTTATTTCCACACCAGGTTTCCGCGGAACTTTGTTCGGGTCCAGGCATCTGGAAAAAAACGGACGCTTGCAACAGTGACACCGTTGCGATGCCCTCCCTGTGACACCCTCCCATGGTCAGCTATACCCGGAAAAAAGGTGGCGAAGCTGGCGAGCTGTCACCGAAGCGCGGTTTTTACATGTATTTTTCTTTTCTTGGCCGTGAAGGTGGTCCAGGTAGCAGAAGTCTGACTGCTCAGTGAGGGAAGAAGTGTCGCCCCCAAGAGAGAGTCCTTTGGACATGAAATCCCTTAGCAGGTCGACCCCTCAGCACTCACTCACCTGGAGGCTCACTCACTGGAGGGGTCCGCGCCCCGCGGGCCATTCCTTTTGCAGAAGAGCTTGCTTCGGGGACGGGTGTATCACGGTGTATCGCTTCTTTGTTGAAGCAATTTTTGACTGGTAGCAAATGGTAGCAAAACAAGGACTCATGGACAATTGGTCATGTTTGGTTTGCTAACAGGTATGGACAGATTTTTGCACGGACGGCCTAATTCATGCGCTGAACGAAGAACATCGCTCCTTACGTTCCTTTTTCTAGAGGCTAAGGGGTGTCTGTCAACCACCTCACACCCGCCATCTACCCCTTGCGACTTAGAGCCCCAGCTCATCCAGCCCCACCATGCGGGACCTCAGGGTGCTGGTCCAAGCACCCTTGCTTTGTTATTAGGGTCTGTAAGCACCATGACCTGTAACAGTAACAATTGCTTTGTAAACAGTTTATAAGCATTTTTGAAGGGTCGGCCTGGGTCGGCCTGAACCATCATCCACTGGCAACCGGGTAGACTCGGATAGACCCAATATTTTGTTTTGTGATGTTTTGTTGAACATCCATTGTTTTACTGAGGGCTTTAGACTGCAGAATCAGCTCAACCTTTGCTTCAATGGTCTTGGGAGGTTAGGGTCTAGGTAGTTCAGGCGCCAGGAATCAGTTGGCGATCAGATCCCTGCTGAGGATTACCTGGCATTATGACGTTAGGCTGGGAGGGAAGGGTAGGCTGAGATGATGTCTTCAAACCTGGCACCAAGGCTTTCGACAAGGTCCAAGCAGACATTGTGTGACCATGAGCCCATGAGCCCATGAGCCTTACAGTGGTTTCAGAATAGATGACGCAACCTCCAAGATGTCTTCTAGATGGGGGTCCCATACACATCGCCTTTCGGGGTTCGGATGGCGCCATCTCCTTTCGAAGTCGACACCCGACACCCGGGCATCACGGCAGCCTTTGGAACGGCCCATCCTCGGTGGGCCCTCTGGCCGTTGAAGGATGGGACTCTCGACGTCGAGACGAAGGATCGGGCCCAGAGGACTCCAAAGGTCATGAGACCCCGAGACGAGATCCACGCTGCGACTGGTGCAGTGTCCCCCGCGAGTCCCGCAGATCCGACGTTCCGGTGGATTTGGGGCCTGGACCACGGTGAGGGCCTGGTCCCAGGAACCGCCGACTCGCGGCCGAAATCGAATGGTGGGAACTGTAGGGACTGTAGGGTACATGTCAGCTGCTTACCTGTATCCCCCCAACTTCGGAGAAACAGCAGAAGTTGGGCCGGTGAGTTTGGAGCAAGATGCATTCCTGGATGGGCACAGCAGGTATCCCACCATATGTTGAATGGCACCAATGGTTCATCCCAGCTGCTGTAACTGGCAAAACTGGCATCACTGGTTCATTCCAGCTGTTGCTCATCTCACTCCTTTCCAAGTCCCCGAAAACGGCTGGACCGAACCGTGGCGAAGGACCGAACCGAATCGAACCGTGGCCGAGCCGTGCCAGGCTACGTGGCGGCCTTCAGCGAAACCCTGGCGCTGGCCGTGGCGACTCGGTGCCTTCAGATGTCCAACGCTGTCTCCCCATCCACTCCATGGGGCCCATGCCGCCCCAGACAGGCCAAAACACCGGCACCCCCACCCCAATGTATGTAGGCATCTATGGCAGTCCCAGGTCCAGGTCGCGTTTCCTGGGGAATGGATGGGTCAACCGGCGTCTCCGACGATGTGATGTTCGGGGCGACGTCGAAGCGGCACGGAACCGGAACTGCTGAAAGCTACACACCTCGAATCATGCCGGGGTGCCTTTAACCAAACTCTTCCAGGGGAGGCTGTGATGATTGGGGGTCCCCCTCAAAAGCCAGCAATCATATAGTCACACACATATTATATATACCTAGGAAACCAAACGACCTCTTTAAAGTGAAGGTTTGACTGAACGACTACTTCCTCATGAAACGACCACTTTCCTTTAGCCGAGGGATCCTCCTTGCCCCACTAAGGTCCAGCACATGCCATGACACGAAAGTGCATGGTGGCACATTCGCTGGGAAGGATCAAAGCAACTGAAAGGCCCAAAGTGGCCAAATCTTCAGAATGAATGGCAACCCAATGAACCTTTTGAAATGGTGAAGGGCAAGCACATTGATCATGTTTGAGCAACATGCATGCCACATGCATCAGCATAGAGCAATTGGCTGGCAGCCGCTCGCATATGGAACCTCATGGGTGCAGGCAAAGCCGGCATGATTTTGCAATAGTACTTGACCGGTTTTCAGCTACTTTTTTGGTCTTGTGGCCCACCTTCCCCACGGACCGCCCCAGGCAACTTTTTCCCACAGTAGCTCACCACAGCTATCCAGTTGGCCAGGTGCGCTAATGATTCCTCAGCCGACACCGTGACAACGTGCGCTGTTGGGGGGAGATTTGGGCGAGGGGGGTATATTCTGTATTTTACACATGCAGTTAGTGTGGCAGACTGTTTTCGGCTGCAAGCCTGCCAATAGCAATGGAGGACATTGAAGAGCTTAGAAAGGGTTTTGACTTTACGACGCCATGTCTCAGGAGGTGGGAGCTCTCACGGTCTCTACGCAAGTTGGGCATTCAGGGAAGGTCCCTAGTTCAGTCTGAGAAGGGCGATGGTAAGGTACCCCCATCGCTTACCAACCTCAGGCTGAACTATGAACTACTGAAGGGTTACACTGGGCACATGGCTGAGACTGGCATCATTTGTACTCGTCTCATTGAACCACTAAAGCCGCCTTTGCTTAGTTTCTATGAACTGATGGAGATCGATGTATCCAAAGACAGGGCAATTTCTATGGTTCATGGTGTGGCAGCTAACATCAAAAAGATGTTGGGGACAATACGCAGCAAGTGGCGAAGGTGGGAAATGCCACGTGAATCTAGAAGTGAATCTATTGAGCATACTTTTGGGTTTTTGACTCGATTCATATAGGGTTCAAAACAAGTCCAGTTTTTTGCATGTGCAACATATTTGTCATAAATCTTTTTGACACCCAGGATCCAAAGGTCAGAGATCTGGTCATGGATTTGTCACGGGCTTCTCAAAAAGCATTCGATGAAGCTTCCATTTGGTTTGAGAAACTGTTTTCTTTTCAGGGTCAATGGTAATTTCACTAGTGTCTTTGCACATGCACATGGAAGTCCGTGGAAACTAGGCAAATCGGTGTCCATTCATTTTTCAAGCTGATTCACTGGACCGTGGGTGCAGTGATGATGAAGATGATAGCATCAGCAACTTCAGAATCCGTGAAACTCTATCCCGCAGCAGCTCGCTCTTCGAGGAAGAGCAAAGCCAGGCGTATTGTGAACTCAAGGCCCTTGCTGAAGCTATGGCAGAAGGGGAGGAGACCCAGGAATATGGGAACCATGCACTGCCACCATACGTTGAAGAATCGCAAATCGAAGTTCCATCCTCACCAGAACGCGATGCTGGACAGCGTGGACCAGGTGAACCATCGGCTCCTGTGGTTTCAGTCCAAGACCAATTGTCAACTCTACTACAATTGGTCATGGAAAAGGCAAAGCAGGTTTCAGAGCCGATACTTGCTTAGTGAATTTCAACAGGTTTCCTAGTCTGATTGCTTCGTGTACGACTGCTTTCACATAGAGTTGAACCCCCAATTCAGTACGCGGACTATAATAAAAAACGCCAGAGTTTGTATGCATGTATTCGAACGTTCCCTTGCAGTGAGGACGGGACATTCCAAGCAGGCCGAGCCAGGATCGAAAGGGGCGCCGAGTTCATCTGCCTTTGAGAATGCAACCCATCATGACGGTCCCCAGCCTATGCTTAGCCATTTGCGAGTTTTGAAATTCAACCCTAATACGTACCGTACGTATTTGATTCAGCCTATGCATAGCACATCATAGCACTAACAAAGCAGATGCCAAACGCTTCTCCGGGGCTAGCCGAGGCAAAGATGGCAATGTTGCAGAGCAGTTGGCGGCGTGCCTCGCAGCATCCGAGGCTGAAGCCATGCATGGCAAGAATGCAAAGGGTGCAGCGGTCGTGGATGACAAGAGCAAGAAGGAGCGCGTGGAGGAGGAGGAAGAGGAGGAGGAGGATGAGGATCGGCGTATGATGAACAATTCGTTAAATAATATTCATCCACGCGTGCGTGTTCGTGATTTTCATTGAAAATATGAGAGATGCATCTCTCCATTGTTTGCACATGCTTGCCTTGCCCTATGGGTAAAGAAAAAGGATGAGGCAGAGAGGCAGCAGCTACACATCTTCCTGAGGGAGCAGCAGCTGAAGCTTGCTGCTGCCAAGAAGCGCAAGCGCAAATCACCTGACGAAGGCAATGGGGAAGAAGGTGATGAAGCAGCTGATGCTGATGCTGATGCTGAAGAGGGTGAGGAAGAGGCCATGGAGGAGGACGAGGAAATTGATCCTAAGTCAAAGACGGCGCCCAAGGCAAAGGCCAGGGGGAAGTCCAAAAGCAAGCCGAAGGGGAAAGCAAAGGCCAAAGCCTCTCCAAAGGCCAAAGCCGCTGGAAAGGCGAAGGCCAAAGGAAAGGCGAAGGCCAAAGGAAAGGCGAAGGCCAAAGGAAGGGCCAAGGCCAAAGCTCAGACTGTGGAGCCTGAGAAGAATCGCAAGACCAAAGCCAGTGAGGCAGACGCTGATGCAGGAAAGAAGACTTTTGCAAAGCGCTACCAGTCCACGTGCAATCCCGAGAGGTGGCAAGCGATTCGGGACTCCTACATGACATACATCCATCGCAAGGTTCAGCTTCAAGTGTTTTGTGAGGGCCACAGGGGGATTGGGACACTGGCGCAACATGCACAACCATCGATACTATATGTATATGCATTCAATCAATGAACGGGTACATTTTCTCGGAGGAATCAAGAACTCACATGCAGACTGTGTCTTGTTCAGATCTGTGAAAGACTCGTCCATCAGAACACAATAGAACTGAACTTGCACTGTACATATATAACATGAGAAGAGGCAAGCTGGATCCCTTAATAGCATATTATAGTATCGATGTGGCTTCTCCACTATGATGCTGTGCCTCAATCTCAATTGGTATGGTGCTATGGTTCGTCTCCCCGAGGAGCAATGGTGGCAGCTATGCACGAAGCAGCTGAAGGACAACCATGACGACACTACGACTCTCAACGAACAGCTGGCGCAGCAGTTCTTGCAGGAGGAGAAGATCCGCCACTTGCAAAGCAATGTGATACAGTTTTATAAAAATATGGCAAAGGGCTTTATGCTACTATAGCTGATGAATTAACATATTAGAGGTTGCCAAATTTCCACTTGGATTGGGTCCTGAAAAAGGACCGCGCAAGTCCTATACCAATAGCAAAAAAAAACATATTTTGGATGGCGCCTTTTTCATGACCGAATCCAAGTGGGAAAATGCCATTAGAGGTCTCCTCAGTTTTGATCGCTGGTGAACTTTCGAGGCATGTTGAGGCAGTCTTTAACAGGGTGCTCGCTCATCAATTACTATATAGGCCAGAAGGTCATACAGCTTTTCTATTCCAATGGGTGGACAAAGTTCAGTACAGGAACACACAACAAACATGCAGTACGTTTACTTGCTGGCCTGGCGCAACTGTTCCAACCTGCCGCTTTGCTAGCCAAGGATCCATCCTCACCCCAGTCGGCAAGAAGTATTTGGCCAGCAGTGGGACCGCAGCCTGAAGAAAGCACTTGGCTTGGGCTTGGGTGAGAATTGCTTCCACAACGAGAGCAATTCTGTTTTGGGGCATTATAGGTCTTAAGAACGCAACACTGCCAAGCTGTGTGGGGGGTGGATGGCAGGTCTTGCAGTTGAGGCTTCCTGTACTCACGCATGCCTTGTTACCTTAATTGAATTATTTCATTATATTTCTGATTGAAGGATTGCCGTCCTGACCCAAGGTAGGATAGCAGCTGTTGGCACAAAACTTTACGTGGTTCGAATCTATCGTGGAAAAGTGGCTCACAAGTGCGAGCTGATTTGGTGACTTAACTCCCTAGGGATCCTCGATGCCAACAAGTGGACTCCAGGCTACTTCTGGCTATTTCAGCCAGCCCATAGTTTTAGACAATCTATTGAAAGAATAGAAGGCCTTGCATGAAGCAGATTTACCCTTCGAATTATGCCAATTGTTACCTTTTGGTTCTGTCCTGCAGCATCAAAACCTGTAACACGTTATACCTTTTGCTGCCAGGTACTTCCAATGGCTGGCATTTTGTCAACATTGGGGTTTCATCCTGATCAATCTCCTCCTCGTCTCGAAAAAAGACAAGGCACGAATCGCCCGCCCTTGCTGATTGCAGAGTTTCGTGGAGCATGATGCTTTTCGTTGGAATAGGCCACCAACCACTTGACCGGTTCCATGACTTGAAGCAAGCCATGATGTAGGACAAGTTGCTATCTCAATTGTTGGGTGGCGCATTGGAGTTTCAGCCTCGCAGCTTTGGGTGAAAAGGCTGAAAGGTATGCCCTGTGACCTGCGCCATGGTCCGTGCTAACTTTGCCAAAGTAGCAGTGTCTTTGTTCAAGCATGGCGCTCCAAAG